ACAGGATCGGGAACGTTGGAAGCATTGTCTGACGCGTCTGCCTCCGCGACCCGAAAGGAGAAGCGGCGATCGAAGATGAAGAAGATGATTTAGAATTATGACCATTTTATCCATATCATCAAAACTGCCTTTAGATCATGTTGCAAAGACACTCCAAAAGAAACTAAAGAATCAGCCATTCAGTAATGCAGCCAATGGTTCGAAGAGCCCAAGTGAAGGCCGAAAGGAAGATTGGCAACGCTTACACAGCACTATGTAAAGATATACAGAAGAAGTTGATGGAAGACCATAAAAATTACGGGAGAATTCGATTAAAAGAAGCTACGGAGCAGAAGAACAGCCTGTAAGGGGTGGAACAAGATATTAACCTGAAGCAAAGAATTCATAACGCGATGATGAAAAAGCAAGAACTACTTTTTGCAACTGGAGAAACACGGTCTACACAAAGCATTACAACAGGCTCTTGTCTTAAAAAGCAGGCACGAATCATAAGTTAATACACGCTGCCCTACTGTTGCTGAACTCACTCCTGTGAAGAAATGAGCGGACAAAACTAAAAATGGCAACGACAATACAAGACCAGCGCACCTTAAGCCTGAAGGAACAATCCTGTTTAAAATACCTGCCAAATGCTTTAAGGAATACATCTGGCAAAACAAAATGTATAAAGCGTAGAAAACATAAAGTATGATTCTCTCTTAAAGAAAATCGACCTCGACGACCTCAAGAACTATCGTCCATTACAAAGTCTTTACCCTCCCCCCTCATCATTCGCAACCGTGTTCGTGAGGGTGTCGAAGTAGTTACAGATTTGGAACAGGCCGGATTTCGAACAGGGTATACATGTAATACAACGGCTGACAAAGAAATGTAGCGAATACCAAGTACCACATTGTTTTGCTTTTATCGACTAAACGAAGGCATTCGATATGATAGAACTGTCAGCTATGTTCAACGCCTTGCATTAACCTAGCATAAACCCTATTTACTCAACCAAGAAAATGAGTAGCGGATGGGCAACTGAAATCAAGCAGTTCGACGAACCATGTTGCATAAGTATCCATCGAAGAGTGCGTTGAGGAAATATAATCTCAACAAGGCTCTTCGCCACATCATTCACTCTTCAACCAGCTAAGCTGGTGTAAGGGCATCAATACTGACGGACAACAGTTAACGTCACTGCTGATCACAGCTCGCAAAAGACGCGATGTAGATCAAACAGAAGATCCAGAAGAATCGCTCATCATCAGACTGGAGGTTAATTTCTCAAAGACGAAATGTGTGTGAAACGACGGTCCTACGACCAAGAATGGCGAAGAACTCTAAGAAGTGACCAACGATTCAGGTTCTGCTGGTCAGATGAACCGCAAGGGCTTGCTAGAGAATGAAATGAGCCATAAAAAGTGGCATGCTCCAACTTTACCTTATTAAAACACTATTACCCGAAGACGAGCTGCCTATGAGAGCGAAGAAATAAAAGTTCAACCGTTTTACCTGCCATGATGTACGGTGCTGAATGCTGTTCTGCTACTAAAGTCGGAGGAAACAAATGGATATTCAAGAAAAAAGCGATGAAGCGAAAAATACGCAAGGGATCCCTCCATGATCATGTTCTGAGCAGACGATTCCACAACGGACAGAACTAACAAACGTTATTCACGTCTTCTACGACGCTGGAGAAGATGAGCATGTCATGAGCAGTGCCTGAAGAACAACCGGTGAAAAAATCAAGAATTATAAACTGGGCTCCGTTTGACCACCAACCACGAGTCGGTTGTCCAAGAACACAATGAGATGATCTGCTGGTGAACGGTAAAGGCAGAATGCCGAAAACAGAGAATGTCAGAGGCGTGTAAATTTCGGTGCATGGCGCAGCCGTAAATAGGACCTGTCAGATAACGCATACTGTAGTCCGTACTTTCTGCTTCATTCTGACGTAGTGAAACGATTATTCACGTTGAAAAAATGAAAATCAAATGTCTTGCGCGGGATTCGAACCCATCATTTTTTCGAAAGTGATTCGAGTAATCTGTTAAAAGTGCTACCTCAGTTTAAGGACAAAAAATGGCTTAAAATAGCAACTATTACTATCAATACTTCTGACAGATATCTATATTTATTGCACGGCAAAGCGACTGGATCCAGCATGAATTTTAATCATGCGTTATAACTGGTGCCAAAAGTCTAACTCCATCCTGCGAAACGAATATCGAACAGACAAGAGAACTGCACGACAGCACAGGGAAAGGACAACGATATTCTTTCGAGTCACTGTTGCAGCGATAACTAAGGTTAGCCACGAGCTTAAAAAAACAGCTGATAAAACCATGGCGAAACTAATTGCTGCGAATCGATATCACTGAGAAAACGTCAATGTGTGGCTGATCAGTCTGTTACTCGATATTTGCATGGATGTCAAGAAAATGCAGCTTTTATATGCAGCACTTCTTCCGCTTCCATTCAACCCTTTTCGACTATATACTGCGTTGTGACCACTGTCCGAAGGGAGCATGGTTGCCCCTGTTAGCTTTTTAAATTCTCTGCCCAAAACTGTCAGTGTGCTACCAAAAGCAGACACCTGTCAGTCACAGATTCAATGGCTTTTCAGATCTGGAAGACAATCCATTACCCCTCATGCACACCGATTACCCAGGAACTGTAGGCCATCGGCGCAGAGTCCGGAATCCAAAATAAACAATTTTTTCTCATTTCTTCACAGTCCTTATATTATATATGCTGTTCTAATATTTATCTTCTTATCACCTGAGACACTGGGTGCCTGTAATATCCGTTTTGCGGCACCAAAATATTTAAGAAAACAAACATAAACTAAGTCAATTAAATGTTGAGGGACCCAGTCAAACAGCCAGTCACTTAGTCAAATCTACTTAAGCGAACCCTGAGGCACAAGATAAATTGCCACTAGCAAACCATTATTTACTACACTGACTGAATTCATCGGTAACTCGTAAGGCTTCTAGCGTCAAACACGGTGCAAGTGATATGAAAAATATATATCCAAATATAATAACGCATGCATAATAACGGTAAGTACTTACTAACGGTTCAAGTTCCTTAACGCTGACAAGATCAAACTCGGTAACAAAATAGTAGAAATGCTTGTAACACGTATTCACATGAGGCTCCTGAAACAGCGATTCGTGTGAAATGGCTACAGTAACTGCAGTCATGTACGTGGTTATTACAGTAGCTATTCACTTATACACTTTATATCATGAACGCACAGGAAAATTTTGATCGACTCCCCTGAACAGCATCAATTTCAGCAGTCGCTATTTAGACTTAAGCTTCAATGCCAAAGATAAAGTTATACTGGCCAGGGAGACAGATTTCTCAAAATTCATCGCAAAATCTAGCCCTGGCAAATGGCGTACATTAGGCGAGGCAAGTTCTTTCTGAGACATTCTGAAAACTAACGTTTATAAGAACACCTGTGGGTTAAGGACTCAAACAGCCACCGAGTGACTACAGTTTGATTTCTTCTCTACATTATTAATCTTAGTAAGCAAGATAAACTCCATGTGGAAAAAGTGAAAATCACATTTTACAAGAAAAAATATAACCCCGATGTTCTAGGGTAGACTCCACGAGTGACAGCATCTGATACCGCCTTCAACGTATAACACTGATTATAATTAATGATACAGGATTTTAACGGCGAAAAAGTACATCATACTTTTTGGTTGAAACGTACCTGCAAATCGGTTTTTAGAGAAATACACTCTTGGTTGACGGGTTTGTAAATTTCCTATCATCCGTTTTCGTTCATGGTGATAACAAACTTGAATCATTAGCTATCTTGACTTTAAATGTCTGAAGAAGCCTACCGATTGGCTGTTTCACATACTCATTAAAGATATAGAGAAAATATATTATTTGGGAGTGTTTAAATAAACAAGTCTTCCTTACGTCACCGGTGGCAGCGCTGCCCGTGCCCTTCACGCCTGGTTAATTAACGATTTAACTGACGCCTCTTAACGAGTATTCATCAAGTTGCATCCCCCCAGTACGCGATAAAAATTAATGAACAACCTCTTTCGAAACAGCAAGAACTAAACGAGAGTGCTGAAGACGAGGATTACAAATGTTGCTTACAAACTGTTACTGTCCAAATCATAGTCGTCTAATGCAGTAGGATTTTTTGTCTGACCTAAAATCACCTCGCAAAAAGGTTGCACC